GGGCTCCTATAGTGGGCTCCTATGCATGGTGCAAGGGCCACAGACGGCGCCAACAGCCTCCCGCCCTGCCGGCTTCAGGACGCCGGCGTGTCCATGGGAGGCCCCCGCCGCCCTGCCCGGAAGCGCAGGGCACCTGCAGGCCAGGGGCCCCAGGCATCCGGCGTCTCGACTCTTGTCGAGGCACCCCTGACTCCGGATCCGCCCTACTTTGGGGAAATTCGTAAGTGGGGCTTGGAATTTCTGTTGCTGTCTCCGCCCTACTTCCGTGGATTTCCGCCCTCCCTACTTGTTCGGCTTCTTATAGGTGGATTTCCGACGCAATTTTAAGTTGGGGGAAAGCCCAAAGTAGGGCGGATTTGGAGTCAGGGACGGGGCCCCCGACCTCTGGACCCCTTCCCCGGGACCGTTTTTTTTTCCCGAGGCTTTTTCCCTGCAGACCCCCGACGTCATGATTTTTGTTCATGGCGTCGACCCCGGATCGAGGTCTCGACCCATTCCCTGGGACCGGCTTTTCATCCTGAGTCGTTTTCTGACGGTCCCGAGGTCCAGTGAGGGCCCCCAAAGGCCGACAATAGCGAAAAGCCTCCCGTCGTGATTTTTTTCACAGCGCGGGGGGGTCGGGGCCTGACGCCCCCGAAACCCAGACAAGGGCCCCGAGGGGGCCGCACGCGCTGCAAAACTTCTCCGCCTCGAGAGCTCCTCTCAAGAGGGAAAAAAAACACAGACACAATTAATCGTCGAGTCCCAGGAAAATATGGGAAAATATGGGAAGTGCGGGGGAAGACAAAAACCCAGAAAATATGGGAAAATCTTGGGAATATTTTTATTTGTGTCTGTTTATTGGTGTGTCCTGGGGCCCCTTCATCCTCGGGGCGCCCCCGCTCGCCGGGGGCGCCTCTGGCGACGCCCGGCGCCGCCTGGCGGCCCTCGCCGGGCTGGCGCGGAGGGCCCGGCCGGGCCGCGGCCGGCGGAGGGCCGCGGGGGCGGCGGGCGCCGCGGCCCGCGCGGCGGGGGCGGCGGGCGCGCCGTTCCCGGGGCGGGTGCGGGGCCTGCTGTTCGACAGGGCGAGGGGCGAGCGGCGGCGCCCCACAGCCCAGACATCGGGCGTCTCGAAAAAATCGAGACACAAGTTTTTCGAAGGATTGCAAAAAAACCCTTCAGTTTTTCGAAGGATTGCAAAAAAAACCTCGAAGGATTGCAAAAAAACCTTTGCAATTCAGGTTTTTTTGGTGGCAATCCTTCGAAGGGTTTTTTTTTTTGCAATCCTTCAGTTTTTGGCCTCTCGGGGCCCTCGCCGGGCCTCGGGACCGTCAAAAAACGACTCGGGATTAAAAACTGGTCCAGGGAAGTGGTTGGGAGGTCGGGGGGGCCCGCGTCTCGAAAACATCGAGACGTCGGATGTCTGGGAGGCCCGGAGAGGCAGCGGCGACCCCCAGGTCGACCCCCTATGGAGTCGTGAGCGGCCCCCCTGCCCAGAGCCCCTCGAGCCGTGTGGAGAGCCGCGACGGGAGGCGTTTGTCGCCAGGTTCGGCCCCCCTGGGGCCCTCCCTGAGATATCCTGGCGTTGCAGAAACTCATGTTAGAACATGTTGTTTGTTTCTCCTATGGGGTCCCTCTCTCCTGTGCGTGCGCCGCGATGCCGCCTCGCCGCAGGCTTTTTGTCTTAAAAGCCTGAGGTCAGGGGGAGACTTCAGGCGCAGGGGCGCCGCCTGCCGCAGGAGCGGCGGCTCGGCCATGTGATGGCGGCGGCCGCCGCAGGCGGCGCCGCTGGCGGCTTCGCCGCGCTGCCCGCAGGCGCAGCAGCCGCGCTGCCCGCGCCCCCAGGAGGCCGCGGAGGCAACCGCGGTCGCGGCGGTCGCGGAGACGGGCGAGGCGCCGGTGGAGCCCGCGGAGGACGCGCGGCCGCTGCACGCGGGGCTGCGGGCGGCAGGCGAGCGCGTGCGGCCGCGGCTGCTGCAGGCGCTCGAGGCCGCGGAGGTGTGGCGGCTCGGCCCCGTGGAGGTGGTCGCGGTGCAGCCGCCGCAGCCGCAGCGGACGGTGCCGACGGAGGAGCCGCAGCAGCTCCTGTCGCCGATGGCCCGCCAGGAGGAGGAGCCGCTGGCGCGGATGTGCAGGCTGGAGGTGCTCCTGGAGTACTGGCGGGTGGTTGCGGTGGACTACCCGCGGGAGTCGGAGCGGCTGCAGGCATGGTGGCAGCTGGAGGCGGAGGTCCGCCCGGGATGGCTGGCGCTGCCTGTGGAGGAGGCCCGCTGGGCGGACTCGTGCCTCCCCCTCTGGCAGGTGGTGCAGCCGCCGTGATCGGTGGAGCTGGCGGCGTGGCAGGACCTCCCATTGGAGCCGCTCCTGGACTGGGAGGAGGTGCTCTCGGCGTCGGAGGTCACGGCGGCGCTGGTGCTTGGGCCCCGGCTGCTGGTGGCGTTCTCGGCGGTGGAGCCGGAGGCGTGCCCGCAGGTGCAGGGGCAGCCCCAGGTGCTGGTGGCCTGCTGGGCTGGGTGCCTGCAGCTGGTGGTGGAGTTGGGCCTCCAGGAGGCTGTGGCCCTATCGGCACCGCCAGGAGGAGCAGGACCCTGGGTGCACGGCCCTTCGTCGCCGATGGCGTACCAGCGGCTTGGGCTGTCGCCAGGAGGGTTGCTGGAGTGCGTGACCCTGGGCAGTTTCGGAAGCGCTGTCGGCACGGCGCTGTTCAGCATCCAGAGCGTGTGGCCTGGCGACGGCATGGGCGTTTTCGTGGAGGCGTCTTTCCTGGGCTGCAGCAGTGCCGCCTTGTGGCCGATGCTGTCGGGGAGCTTGAATCACCTCGGTGGCGCGGTGCTGCACCTGTGCACCCAGCAGGCCAACGTGTGCTCAGGGCTGGTGCAGTGGCCTCAGCGCTCCGCGCTGCACGTGGAGACCTACCGCATGCGAAGCTCCACGGGGGTGACTGAGCCGTGGGCTCAGGCGCTGCTGGCCAGTCGTGGAGCCGCTGGGGGGCAGACAGCCGCTGGCCTCCCTGGCGGATCCGTCGGAGGTGCTGGCCCGCCTGGAGCTGCCGCTGGAGGTGCCGTGGCTGGCTCGGAGCCTACCCCCGAGGAGCTGAAGAAGAAGGTAGCTGAATTGCGCCTACGCTTGCATCGCAAGCGTGGGATAGGTGAGGCCCTCGCGGAGCGTGCTGAGCAGGCTCTCGGCGGTCGTCGAGTGGGTCGTCGCGAGAGGAGGCGGACACGACGCGCCGGTGACGACAGCAGCTCCGATGGCTCAGTTTTTGACGGCGCCCCCCACGTCGACCCAGGCCGCAGGATAGCTCATCTTGCCCACGCCGCTCCAGGAGCTCTCCTGTCGAGCGGGATGGATCAGATCAAGCGCTATCTTGCACGGCGTGGTGGGGCGGACGCCGACGAGGGCCTGGGCGAGCTGGCGGCGACGGCGGTGCAGTACATCACGAGCGTCTGGCACGGTCACCACCCGCAGAGCGAGATGGGGGTGAGAAATGTTCGCGAGATGCGAACTGTCGGCGAGTGTCTCGACGCGCTGCTCAGAGGAGAGTTGGATCACCTGGGCGATCTCTTGATGCAGAGGCTGAATGCGATCGAGCAGGCTACCAAGGACGGCCACTGGCAGGTGGCCCAGCATCTCGAGCTGTGCGACGACCTGGGCGTGGGTCTCGCTCGCCAGGAGGAGGTGCGCGACGCCGTGAGCAAGCGCAAGAGGATGTTTGGCCTGGCCGAGAGCGTGGCGAAGGCCAAGAAGGGAGGTGGCGCAGGATAGGGGTCAGGCCGAGAGGGCAGCGGACAGCCTCGGGCGCCGCCCTCTCGGAGGCCATCTCCGACCCCTGGCATCCTCTCTTCAAGCCCGACGACCAACAAGTCCAGCAGCATGGTGGAGCGCGTGAAGGCATCGCGAAAGACGCGCTGGAGGAAGGAGCGGAGGCAGGCTGCCGCCGCGAAGAAGCAAGCTGCAGCACCAGCAGCTCACGGAGGAGGGCAGGCGCAGCAGTCGGCCAGCCCCGCAGCTTCGCATCCTCCCGCGCCTGGCGCCCCAGGGTCACCAGCCGCCGCCGCGCGCGGCGCCGTGAGCCCTGGCCCCGATCGCCGACCGATCCTGCGCCCACCTGCTGGAAGGGAGACGCGGCCAGCGCCACCAGTGAGGCGCGTGCACTTCGCCGATCAGGTCGAGCAAGGCGGACTGCAGCAGCCACCAGCGCCGAGGAGCCACCCAGGTTCGCCTTCGCCGCAGCGCAAGGGCGAGAAGGCGAAGACCACGAGCTCGGGCAAGCCGAAGTTCAAGAAAGGCAAGGGCGGCGGCAAGTCGGACAGGTGGCAGGGTCCCGGCTCCAAGGGCAAGTCGAAGGGCAAGAGCAAAGGCAAGCGGCGCGCCTAGCTCCCACGGACATGATGGTTGTTCCGTCTGAGTCTGAGAAGAATGACAATCCAATCGATGATCAGGAGTCGGAGATCTCATCCCAGAGGTCATCTTGTCTTGACTCCTTGCATGACGCGGAGCACACTGTCGCTTGTGACACAAAGGATGTCTCCGAGAATGTATTTTCCTTGTCCTGTTCGCTGCCCAGTTCATCCGTTGAGAACTTCGGCACCGCGCTACTGTCTCGGCTACTTCCTGCGCTACACCCTGGCACTGAACGTGAGTCCGCATTGCGTCGTTCGAGGTCGCCGTCGCCTACCCTGGCTACCGCTACTGGGGGTGCTGGGTCTGCCTCTGAGGCGGCCCACGGCGAGACAGGCGACTCTTCACATTTGGCTTCTTTACGTACATCCACTGGCAATTCAGTCAATCAGTCATTTGGTAAAGCTGACGTTACTTCTGAATGCGATGGTATCTCACACCCGGCTTCTTTACGCACTCCTTCGACGGCTTCGCTTGTTTCCGAATATGATGCAGTCTATGGAGATCCGCTTCCATCACCGAACGGTCGGCGAGAGCGTCGGGATCTTCTCCCGCCCCCGATCGTATTTCATGGGTTGGCTGCTCCTCAGCGTCGCGGAGACATTCGCGAGGGCGGTCAGGAGCTGGCAGCTGCGAAGCCTGAGGAGTTAGATTGGCTACATTGTATCGTGTCAGGTCTCAACTTTCACTACGCTCGCAGTTGGGTCCATGCGCCTCACGGCCCTCCAAGCGCCACTCAGCGCAAGGCCCTCGATAATCTTCTCTATGAGGTCAGAGTCTTTCGTGAGCAGTGCGCTGGCCTGATCCCTGACATCGACTGGGGCGCCGACCTTTGCTCCGCCGCCACCTCCTACGACGGCGAGGAGGTGTTCCCTGCCGAGCCCCTTGACCGTGATCGTTTGCTCGAAGCCCTGCCTCCTCGAGAGGCGTGCGCTGCCGTGAAGGCCGTTGATGTGACAGAGGGTTGGATCAGAGCTGCCCTCTCCGATCCAGGTCTGATCCTGAAGGACGAGTCGGAGCTTGGCAGCTTGCCCCCCACTCCGAAGGTCTGGGCCTCGAACGAGGAATGGGAGCTTATCGCTGGCGACCTACTCGAGAGGGGGATTCTCAAGACGATTGAGTACGAGGACATCGTGGAGGTTCAAGGGCGAAAGTTGATGGGGGGCATGTTCGGCGTGAAGAAGGGATCCCACTTGAAGGGCGAGGGGCCGCAGCGGCTGGTGATGAACATCATCCCCTCCAACTTCATCCAGAATACGATCGAGGGCGACATGCCGATGCTGCCCCACAGCGACAAGCGGAAGAGCGTGATCCTCAGGTCTGGAGAGGTGATGCTCTGGAGTGCGGAGGATCTAAAGTGCTGCTTCTACGTGTACAGCCTCGGCGGGCGATGTGTGGCTGAAATACATGGCCATCTCAAAGCCCGCGAGGAGGTGCGTCGCTGGGCTTTCAGGCAAGGGCATGATATACCTGGCCGCCGCCGTCGCACCCGTGGGATGGATATCGGCCACCGGGGTGATTCAGCACATCCACCGTCGCCTTCCTCGAGCCCGGCATCCTGAGCTACGGCAACTCTCGGCGTCGGAGGAGCTGCGCAAGGACGCCCCTATTCCTCCTGCTCGCCGAGGTGGCTCTCACATCTCAGGAGTGGCTCCTGTCCGTGGTGAGGTCGGCCGCACTTATGATGACGACAAGCGGGCGATCTACATCGGGCGCGGCTCCAGCCCACTACAGCTTGCTCCATCGAAGTGGGGCAACCCGTTCCGCATTCGGGATGGTTTGGACAGGAGGCGGGCCATCGAGCTATTCGCAGAGCACCTGGAGAAGTCGCCCGACCTTCTGGCCGACTTATCTTCTCTGAGTGGTGTTCGGCTGCTTTGCCACTGCAAGGAGCACCAGGCCTGCCACGGCGATGTTCTGATCGCGAAGTGGTTGGAGCGCTTCAACACGCCAGCCCTCTGGAGGGCCTGGCAGGTGTACATCGACAACTTGGACGTGCTTGAGATCACCGACTGGTGGCACGCCAAGTCCCTGCAGGAGGAGGGGATGAGCGAGGCGGTCGATCTGGCCCGTCGGAGGTATGAGCACTTCAACGTGCCAAGAAGCGAGAACAAGGCCGTCATCCGCGAGACCACGACGCAGTCCCTCGGGGAGGCGATCGATGGGGAGCGCGGCACCATCGGGCCGCCCGCAGAGTTCGTGCGACGGCTGATCTCCCTCACCTTGGCGACTCTGCAAAGGCCCACAGTGACTCAGAAGTGGATGCAGATCCTGGCGGGCCGATGGGTTCGGCGCCTCCTGTTCAGGCGCGAGGCGACGATGTGCTTCACTCACTTGTGGCGATTTTTGGTGAAGTTGCGTGGTGATGCGAAGGTGCCGCGTAAGGTACGCGAGGAGCTGGTGTCGGCCTTAACGTTGCTCCCTTTACTTCGCTGTGACCTGCGCGTGCCGATCAGCGGGCTGGTGACGGTCTCGGAGGCCAGCATGCAGCGTGGAGCCGTGTGTCGAGCTGTTCGCATTCGGCCTGATGGAGTGGCCGCTGCGAGAGCGGCCAGCCGAAGGCTGGTGACTGACTTCCGCGACGAGGTGGTGCTCCTGTCCTTGTTCGACGGCATTGGTGGGGCTCGCCGCGCCCTGGACCTGTTGGGGCTCACTCCCGCGCTGTTCGTGTCCGCCGAGATCGACGCCGAGGCGAAGCGAGTGACCAAGTATGCATGGCCGGACGTGCTGGAAGTCGGCGACGTCTGCTCCTCTGGGTTCGCCGAGGCGGTGGCCATCCGTGAACGAGTTCCGCATGTGAAATGGATACTAGTGGTGGCCGGTAGCCCTTGCAGCGACCTGTCCCGCATCAACGCTGAGCGCACTGGCCTTCAAGGGAGACGGTCACGTCTGTTCTACGAGATAAGCCGCATTGTGTCTCTTCTGCGCGAGGCGCTGGGTGATTTCTGCACGGTGCTGTCCCTGGTTGAGAACGCGGCCTCAATGGACTCGGAACCGCGACGGTTGATGTCACATTCCCTGGAATGCGAACCTGTGTGCATCTCAGCGGGTGATGTCACACACTGCCAGCGTGATCGCTTGCATTGGATCAAGGAGGAGCTGTTGACGCCATGGCAGGGCGAGTCGTTTGTCATGGACTCGGCGAAGCACGTCGTGATCCCGGACGGGCCCGGTCCAGTTGAACGCTGGCTGGCCGCTGGGCTTCAGTGGCAGTGTGACGTTCAGGAGGACTTCCGCCTGCCCACCTTCCTGCGCTGTGTTCCTCGTCGTGCTCCAGGTCAATTCCCGTCAGGTCTCGACAAGTGTGCAAGTCATGAAGTCGAGCGTTGGCGCAGGTTCAACTACTGCTACGCGCCCTACCAGTTCCAGGACATCAACTGCATCGAGGAGCCTGACGGCAGCCGAAGGCCCCCCTCGAGTGTCGAGAGAGAGAGCTGCTGCTCGACTTCCTTCCAGTGCACACGATCACGGCACGAGTGACTAGAGCGCGCAAGCTTGAGAAAGCTGATCTGGAGTGTTGCCGGTGCGCTCTGCTTGGGAACAGCTTTCAGTGTGTGGTTGTCGCCTGGGTGCTGGCCCACTGGGCTCAGAGAGCAGGCTACCTGGCCGAGGTCCCTTCCGTCAGGCAGATGCGTGAGAATGGAGGTGGCGCCACCATCGCCGATGCCACAGTCAGCATGGACCAGATGGATTGCGACGACGGTGTCTTGGTGCGCCAGCACGATCTCGAGAGTGAGGATGCCGCGCTGGACCCCAGCATCATCATCGTGGAAGAGCTGGCCCGCCGTGCCGAGGCCAGAGGCAGCGACATCAGGCTTGACACGTTCGAGGCGATGCGGCCTGATCTGTGGCCCAGGCGACCAGTCAGTGTGGCACGCTGGTCATGGAAGGCCACCGCCGTCTGGGACTGGAAGCACCCGTCCCACATCACGGACCTTGAGGTGAGAGCCACTCTGGGAGCCATGCGATGGCGCTTCAGATCCTCTCAACATTTACGCACCCGCTTTTGTCATCTGATGGATTCTCAAGCTGGTCTCGGAGTCATTACCAGAGGCCGATCATCATCTCACTTGCTGCATGTTACCGTTCGACGCATTGGTGCCTTGATCTTGGCTGCTCTTGCCCGTCCCGTGTATGGCTACACGGAGACTGACCGCAACCCCGCGGACAATCCGTCGAGGGGAGCGGCTGCGGCTCCTAGTTGACTTCATGCCAGGTCGAGTTCAACACAGAGTCAGAGCAGCGCAGGATCAGGCTACGCGTCGTCAGCTTCGGGCCGCGGTGGGTCGCCTATCACGCAATCTGGTGCAGCCACGGACCCTGGAGGTATATCAGAATGCAGTGAGACACTTTTCAGATTGGGTTACTATGAGAGGGCTTTCTTGGTCTGGGGGCGCCGACCACACACATCAACTGGATCTGCTGGTGGCCGACTGGATCGAGTGGCTCTGGACCGAAGGGCATCCCCAGGGCTTGGCAGGGAACACTTTGTCAGCCGTCCAGTTCTTTTTGCGCAAGAAGCGCATCCTGCCAGCGTCATGGAGGCTACTTCGTGCTTGGCAGAGACTGGAGCTGCCGCAACGAGTGCTTCCGATGCCTGACATCGCGTTGACGGCGCTGGCTGCCACCGCGCGTGGCTGGGGCCGCAACGACGTCGCGGCGCTGCTGGTCCTCGGCTTCGCAGCCTTCCTGAGGACCACCGAGATGCTGACCTTGCGACGCTGGCAAGTCGCCATCGACGAGGCTCGCGCTAGAATAGTTGTAGTGCTGCCAATCACAAAAAGTGGCTTGCGATTTCATCGACAGGAGACAGTCGTGATTGAGGATGCCTCGGTGACACAGCTGAGATCGTACTTATTATGACATGTTCCGTCAGACCAACTGATATTGCCATCTTCAATTGGTGATTTCAGACGTATATTTGAGCAGCTGTGTGCTGCTATCGGCTGCCAGCAATTTCAATTCAAGCCATACAGTCTAAGAAGAGGGGGGGCCACATCGTTCTTCCGTCACACTCGTAATATGCCTGCCACTCTAGAGAGAGGGCGTTGGCAAGACACGGCGACGGCTCGTATATACCTTGCAGAAGGCCAGCAGGCTCTCTCAGAATTGCGCGTTTCGCAATCAACCCTCGAAAGATGGAGGTTTCTTGGGAGCTTGCTGGCCTACGATGTGGCCTCCCCCACTGCGGTGGTTTCAAGGCGGTGAACCAGGTGGGGAGACGTGGAAGAGCTCTTGGGTCCTCTCGGCCTCGTCTTGCCTCATCGTGGCGCCCGGGTTTTCCTGGTGGCCGCTGGCGGCCGTTTCGAGGGGCCCTGGTTTTCCGCGGAGGAGTCCTGGGGCCATAGGCCTCGTTCGGCCTGACCTCGCCCTGGGAGAAGCTCGGCCGCGCGGTGCTGGCGGCGCTGGCGAGAGGCAACACGGGGCGGTGAGTTCAATGGGGCCCAGCCGCCCCGCTGGTGGGCCCGCGAGGCCCCGCTCGACAATACCCTGGTGGAAGCGGCATGGCACAAAACAAGAGGGGATCCCAAATAGTAAGAGAAACAGAAACTCATGTTAGAACATGTTGATTGTTTCTCCTATGGGGTCCCTCTCTCCTGTGCTTGCGCCGCGATGCCGCCTCGCCGCAGGCTTGTTGTCTCCCACCCTCGGGCCACCCTTTTCAGAGGGAAGAGCTCTTGGGTCCTCTCGGCCTCGTCTTGCCTCATCGTGGCGCCCGGGTTTTCCTGGTGGCCGCTGGCGGCCGTTTCGAGGGGCCCTGGTTTTCCGCGGAGGAGTCCTGGGGCCATAGGCCTCGTTCGGCCTGACCTCGCCCTGGGAGAAGCTCGGCCGCGCGGTGCTGGCGGCGCTGGCGAGAGGCAACACGGGGCGGTGAGTTCAATGGGGCTCAGCCGCCCCGCTGGTGGGCCCGCGAGGCCCCGCTCGACAATACCCTGGTGGAAGCGGCGTGGCACAAAACAAGAGGGGATCCCAAATAGTAAGAAAAACAATTTTTTGCAGCGGGCGTTTTCGCTCGCTTTCGGGCCCCGGGATCCCTCACAGATCGATCGGGCTCCAAAAATGACGCAGAAAGATGGGGTCCGGGGCTCCGGACGTGGTTTTTGCGATGTTGCAATGGGGCCCTTGCCGGGCCGCGGGACCGTCCAAAAACGGCTCGGGACGAAAAGCCGGTCCCAGGGAAGGGGTCCAGACCTCTGGGGGTCGACGCTGCGACAAAAATCACGACGTCGGGGGTCTGGGGAGGCGTCGGCTCAACATGATCGCGTGGTGAAAAAATCAGGACGGGAGGTTTTTGGCTATCTTCGGCCCCGGGGGGCCCTCGCCGGGCCTCGGGACCGTCAACAGAAAGACTCAGGACGAAAAACTGGTCCCGGGGAAAGGACTGGGACTTCCAGGGGCGCCGTCTTGAAGAAATCAGGATGTCGCATGTCTGGGTGGGCTTGCCTGCAAGTTTGCCAGAGCACGTTCTGAAGAACCTTTTGTGGTCTGAGCGGGATGCTCTCAGAACGTTTCTGGCTGAGGCTGCCTCGCTTTACGACATCTGCTTCAGTAATTATGAGAATATTGCGCTGGTGATTCAATCATGTTTGCGTTCTAAGGGCATTTCGTGGCAGGCCTGGAGGAATGCCGGGACGGCCCGTCCCCGCTCAACACCATTGTCCGGCCCCATTTTTGCCAGGACGTTTTGCTGGCCAGGCCGAGGACGCATTGGCCAGGCCCCATCTTTCCTGGACCCTTGTGTTAGGTCGGGCCTGTCCCTCTACAGGAGGAATATTCAAAAATAGGATACACAAATAATCAGGGGATGATTTTTGGAGCATGTTTGACCATCTTGGTGCATTTTTGTACTCTTTCTTATGTTTCGTCCAAAATCCCCCTGTAGGAGGGCAGGCCCGACTTAACCCCTGTGTCCGCGCGGTGGCGGCAGTGCTCCGGGACGCTACGTGGCAAGCAGCGGCCTGGCGCTCTCGTGGGTTCTTTGTGCGATGGTCCAGCCTCGGGACGCGTGCCAGCGGCCGCGCCTCGCCGAGAGCGTCCCGGGCTGGCCCGGATCGTCCCGCACGGCCGTGCGGAGAGCCGAATGATATCCTCCCTCCCTCCTTCCTCCTCCTCCTCCTCCTCCTCCTCCTCCTTCTCCTCCTCCTCCTCCTCCTCCTCTTCCTCCAGAGCAGCAGTGTTGCGCTTCAAGGGGTAATTCGTGCCGCCTGTTGTTCAGTTCCAGACACCCGCGCTGCTCAGAGTGATTCGAAGATCGGCATTTGTTTGTTGCGCCCTCTCCTTTCGCCTCCGCCTCCCCTCTCCAAAATTGCGCTGAGGGGAAAACAAAAACAAGTCCCAGACATGCGACGTCCTGATTTTTTTCAGGACGGCCTGAGTCGTTTCTTGACGGTCCCGGGGCCCGGCGAGGGCGTTCGCGAAGGCCGAAGGTAGCGAAAAACCTCCCGTCGTGATTTTTTTAACGACGCGAGGGGGTCATGGGAATGATGTCCCAGAAAGACCAAGAGGCAACGACATGGGGGGAGAGGCTCCCGGGGAGGCTGCCCATATCTCGACTACACGTAAGAGTGACCTTTCGCCGGAGTGACCTTGAGTGCGGGCACAATGGGGTCCCCCGATCGCCGATTTCGATGCGACAGTAGCGTCTTGCGCGCCTTGGTCCCCCCGCGGCTCCCCAAAAGCCGGGCACCAAAGGTTACTCTTGCCCAGGGTCACTCTTGCGTGTAGCCGAATATATCGCTCGTCTCGAGCAGCCGCCTCGCCGGCCCGACGCACAACAAAGTCGGAAGGTTATTCTGGCCGTTTCTTCGGCCTCGGGGGGCCCTCGTCAACAAAACGACTCGGCGTGATAAGCTGAAGTCGGGCTCGTCCCTCTACAGGAGGAATGTTCAAAAAATAGTTTGGGGACTATTCTTTGAGTATTTTTTGACCATGTTGGAGCATGTTTTAAATGTTGTTTTGTTTTTCGTCGAAAATTCCCCTGTAGGGGGACATGCCCGACTTAATGATAAGCCCGCCCCGGTGAAGGGGTCCAGACCCAGACATGATCGCGTCGTTAAAAAATCAGTACGGGAGGTTTTGGGCTATCTTCGGCCCCGGGGGGCCCTCGCCGGGCCTCGAGGACCGTCAAAAACGACTCAGGACGAAAAACCGGTCCCAGGGGAAAGGGTCGGGGCTTCCAGGGACGCCGTCCTGAAAAAATCTGGACGTCACATGTCTGGGGATCTTTTTGGTTCCAGGCTGTGAACAATGCGCGAGTCGGAATCCTGGGAGCAGCGGCTTGGGGCATATCCGGGCGGCCCAACTGGGCTCTGAGGAGATGGGGTCGGTGGATCGCGCCACATCGCCGCTGCATCGGCGATGCGGCTCGATGCGGAGCCCGATTTTCTCCACGCCGACGTCGCCGACGTATCGGCTATGCGGCGCGTTCCTCCGACCCATTCGGACCCCATTCGGGAGGCCACTTCCTGAACCGCATGCCCGCGACAAGAAAGCATCCGCCCCCCTCCATTAGCCCCTGAGTCATGGTTATCCATGGCGTACGTATATTTGATAGGGGGGCGAAGCGGCGAGGCCGAACTTCATGACCACCAAGGAACGTACGAATCGTACACTGAAGCATCTTATCGTGATTGACCTTTGTTCTCATCAGCAGCATCCTTTGTTATCCTCATCTCCCTCTCGCGGGCCCCCATTCTGGCACACCCCTCGCGCGGTTCGTGGCCCCATGTGGTGCCCTGGTGCTATGCCTGCTAGATCGCGGTGAGCATCGGACTCCTCTCCCTCCCGCTTTTTCAACCTCTACAGTCGGCGTCAATTTCGTTTCCTCGGGTGTCATCTTGGCGGGCAGGTGCGAGGGCCTCAAGGTGTTCGTGTGAGTCGGGCAGGCAACCTTCTCTCTTTCTTTGATTTGTATGACTACGTCATTGGTCCCATTCCCATTCCCATTCCCTCCGCGCCCCAGCTGAGCTTGTCTATCGCCGTCATGGATATATTACTCCCACAGAGCAGCCAGGAGTTCTCACTCCTACACGACGGGCAGTCCGAAACTTCGATTCATCTTGAAATCTCCTCCTCCTCCTCTTCCTCCCTCTCCTCGTGGTCCTCCTCCTTATGTTCCTTATCCTCCGCTCCTTCTCTTCCTTTTCTTCTTCATGTTTATCTTACTTCTATTATTTCTCATCTCTGATTCCTCCTCCTTCTAATCCCCTCTCTTTCTTCCTCCCTCCGCGCCCCAGTTGAACTTTTGCATCGCCGTCATTGCTTATCAGCCCCAAAGAGCAGCCATGAGTATGCCTACACGACGAGTAGAAAACAACCATAGACATCGAGTAGAGGTCCCACCCCATCCAGGGAAGGCCCCGCCAGAACCAAGAACGAGGAGGATTTCTCAGGCGTTCTGCTCCTACACCCGTACGCCGTACATGCCTACATGCGACTTGCCGGGAAAATCGGTTATTATCCCCCCGGGGCCCCGAACTTTGTTATCCCCATGGTGTGATCATTACCGGCGCAGGGTTAGCTCATACCTCCGACGTGCTTGATCACTACTGTAGGTTCCACGCGGAGGCGGCCCCATCGCTGGCGTTCACGGTTGAACGCCGCCAGTGGCCGCGATCGTTCAAGGCTCAGCCCTCCAAGCGTCCGCGCTTGTACTCACCACACGAACCACCCGCAACCAAGGCGACGGCTTGTCGTTGCTTTCGGCCCCCGGGAGCCCTTGCCGGGCCCCAGGACCGGCCAAACGGTGGCTCGCGAGGTGAAGAGCGCCCCCCCCCCCAGGCAAGGGCCCAGACCTTTGGTTACCAGCCTGGAACATATCCCTATCCCTATGCTGGGCACCTCCTCATCACGATGCCAATCTTAGGGATTCCCTTAGTTTTTGAGGGCGCATCCCTAAGATTGTCATCGCCTTTTGGCGTGTCAATCTTAGGGATAGGGATACGTTCGAGGCTGGTAATTTGTTTGGGGACCCCGCAGGGGAAAAGCAGTGCATCGGATCCCTGGGACACTTTCGGAGGTCCGCGCGGCCTTCTCGGGTCGGCGCGGGCCTCCGAAGCGTCCTAGTTATGCTGGCGCTGCTCAGTGCCGACCTCTGGCCCCTCGGACATAGACGGCACGCTGGCCGACAGCGACCCGATCCACTTCGGCGCGTTCGTGGACGTGCTCGCGGAGGCGGGCTTCAACGGCGGGGAGCCCATCACCGAGGCCTTCTTCCGCGAGAGGATCACCGGGAGGACGAACCGGGACATTTTCGGGCGCTCGGCAGCGGGGGGAGGGGCAATAGACGCGGGGGGGGGTGGGAGCGAGGATGGCAGGAAAGTGCGCGAGGCGTGGGTTTCTCCACATCCACCGCCCGGGAGCCGACTTCCGCGGGACCCACAGCGGGCGGTGGATCTGGAGATATGTCTTGGCCGCCGGCGGCCCGAAGACATCTCCGTATCTCTCCACCGCCCGGGGAGGTCCGCGAAGACTGACCCCCCAGCCCTGGGAGACGTGCCGATGTTGCGTTAGACGCGTACAGACTCGCGGCGCTCTCGTTCGAGCGCGGTGCGCGAGTGTCTAACCCAGAGATCCGATGTCGTGATTTTTTCAGGACGGGGTCCCCAGAAGTCTCGACCCATTCCCCAGGACCGGTTTTTCATCCTGAGTCGTTTTTTGACAGTCCCGGGGCCCGGCGAGGGCCGCCAGAGGCCGAAAATTTAGAAAAACCTCCGTCTTGTTTTTTTTCAATACGTTGGATCTCTGGGAAGACAGACCAGTTATGGGACTTGTCCACAGCCACCCCCCAGGCGGTGGCCCGGGCTCGCCAGGTGGCCCTTGCAGCAAAGAAGGTCTCGGGTCTCCCACCGCGGGCCCGGCAGGTGCTGTTTGAGAGTCGAGCCGTGGCGGAGCGTGAGGGCTCGCCTGTAGACCCGCCCAAGACCCAGACCCCCTCGCGCTGTGAAAAAATCACGACGGGAGGTTTTTCGCTAGTTTCGGCCTCCGGGGGCCCTCACCGGGCCTCGGGACTGTCAAAAAACGACCCAGGATGCAAAACCGGTCCCGGGGAAGGGGTCTAGACCTCTGGGGGTCGACGTTGCGAAAAAATCACGACGTCGGGGGTCTGGGGAATGTTCAAATTCGCCAGCCCATCGGGCCAGAGGCGTGCTAAGAGCTCCGGTAACTGCTTAACAATATGTCTAGTTCGCGCGCGCGGGGCGGCCCCTGGGGGGCCCCGCACGAAAAGTACCCTGGCCGATCCCCGGCCGGGTCCCGGGCGATCCCCAGGGGGGAGGCTACTTTTCGCCACCCCTCACGAGGATCGTGGCCTCCGAGGGGGGGCTGCAATCGACTACCCCCCCTCCCGCCCCAAGGGGCCCCCAAGAGCCCCCCAAGAGGCCCCAGGGGGGGCCAATACGCCGCCAAGGAGCCCCAAGACGCTCCCAAGAAGCCCCCGAGAAGCCCCCAAGACGGCCCCAAGAGGCCCCAGATAGCGCTCCAGGGCCGGCGGAATGAGCGAAGCGATTTAAATAGCTTTGCGTGGTCTGCACGAAGTGTTCTGAGAACGCGTCTGGCTGGGACTGTCCTGTTTTGTCACATCGGGCTTATGCTATAAGAACCATGCTCTTGTCACCCGGACATCTCTTGGCCTATGGAGTGGCAGGACGGTCGGTAGGCCTATGGAAGGCCAGGAGCATTTCGTGGCAGGCCTATGGCATGCCGGGAGGGTCGGCCCCTGCGCCAGAAGAGAGGTGCGCGCCGCGCCGCCTCCGTTTTCCCAGACGGCCGGCGACGCGACCTGCTCCGCGCGCGGCCCCAAAGAGGGCCCGCAGCCGCCGCCCCGCATCCGTACCCAGACAGGATCGTCGGGGGGTGGACAGACCTCCTACCCTGACACGTCGACTCAGGAATTTGCCGTTTTCGGTTCGCGAGAGGGCGTCGCGGCCGTCATTTTTGCGGGTCCAGGTCCGTCGGTTTCGGTCCCAGGTCGTTTTCACTAAAGGGAGGTTTACTAATGGGAGGTTTGTCCACCGCCGAGATCGCGTCGCAAAAAAAACAGGACTGGAGGTTCTTGGCTATCTTCGGCCCCCCGGGGGCCCCCAACGGGCCTCGGGGCCGTCCAAAAACGACCCAGGACGAGGAACCGGGCCCGGGGGAAGGGTCGGGACTTCCAGGGACGCCGTCCTGGAAGAATCGGGACGTCGCATGTCTGGGTCTTCCGTCCCGCATCCATACCGTACACCGACAACATGTTGCACCCTTTTTGCTGTGCATTGGCACCTGTACTGCATTGCTCTTGCCCCGCCCTTCCCCCCGATCTTAATATTGGGTGCATGGCGAAGAGCCCCTGTTCCGCCCGGGGGCTCCCGACAAAATGTTGCACCACCGAGCTGTTTCGACCAGCCCGGACTGAACCCAATGTTAAGATCGGGGGGGAGGGGGGGGGAAACAAACGATTGATATAACAGCGATGCGATGTATCGTCAGCGCCAGGTGGTGCAACATTTTGTCGATGTACCGTAATTCGAAGGCCCTGGGGCCCGAAATCGTCCCCCAGGGGCTGAGATCCAAGAGAAGCGCATCCAGGATTGAAACATCCAATCGCCAGAGAGCTGGGTTCGCAGACCCCCGACGCCGTGATTTTCACACGGCGCGACCCCCAGCGGTCGGGACCCCTTCCCTGGGACCGGTCTTTCATCCCGAGTCGCTTCCTGACGGTCCCGAGGTCCGGTAAGGGCCCCCAGAGGCCAAAAATAGCGCAAAGCCTCCCGTCGTGAGTTTTTCATCCTGAGTCGTTTCCTGACGGTCCCGAGGTCCGGTCAGGGCCCCCGGAGGCCAGAAACAGCGCAAAGCCTCCCGTCGCGGGTTTTTCCTCGAGGGGGTGTGGGCTTGCCCTCCCCCGGTTGACGACGGCCCGCGACGTCTGCCGGGACCTGTTCCCCGACTGGAGCGAGCAGCGCGCCGCGGCGTTCTCCGACAGGAGCGGGCGACGAGAAAGCTGTGCACGGGCACCGATGCCGGCAAGGCCCATGCTCGACCCAGGATCGTCGACTACACGTAAAGAGTGACCCTTCGCCGGAGTGACCTTTGGGTGCGGGCCCACTGGGGCCCCCCGATGACCGAGCGCGATGCGGCAGTCGCGTCTCGCGCGCTCGTGTTGGGCCCCCCCCGTGGCCCCCCAAACAGCTGCGCACCAGAGGTCACTCTTGACCAGGGCCACTCTTGCGTGTAGCCGAGATCGGTGCACCTGCTTCCCCGGCCACGGCGGGGGGGCACACGGTGCCGCTGATGATCCAGAAGCCTCCCCCCCGAAGAGCTGGCCCAGCGTTTCTTGGCCAGCTTGCCGGAAAAAAGCTGGCTCCGTCGGCTTCTCGAGGGGGCAAGTGGCTTTGGATCCTAGAAGTGAGCAGTGCACGTTCCTGGCTCCAAGAGCTGGCCCGGCGTTTCCTGGAGAAACTTCTGGAAAGCTGGCCCAGCTTTCTTACCTGATCATTTTCTCGATCGTAGTTTTGGCTGTGTGCGCCGATCCTGGGCTATCTGGATGCGCCTGGCCAGAGTCTCGGAGGGAGGAGAAGCGATACCAACACCACCAGGGGGCCCACCGCCAGCGAGGAGGTCCACGATGCCTCTCCGAGCTGGAGGCTGGGGATGTCTCGAGCGAGAGGGGGGGACCGCACCACCAGGGAGTTCCCCCTTGCCTCCTCGCATCTCCTCGCCCTGTTGGTGTTGGTGTCGCCTTTCCTTGTTCCTAGAATCGGACGCCGATCCGATCGCTGTCTTCCTGCTCCTCCTCCATCTCCTCCTCCTCCTCCTCCTCCT